CCTCCCAGAAATGGTGAATTGATTTATTTGCTTCTTGAAGAGACTTGTTTTGCTTCCCTTCCGTGGGGATGCCAGGCCTGGAGGACACAAGGAGGAAGGAGTCTGCCCTTAAGAACTCGCAGCAGCACAGCAGACAGTATTAGCATAAGGGAAAGCAAGGGGTTGGTGGGCAGAAACCTTTGTGCCTGGCTGTGGAATATTCCTTTCGGAAGCGGCTGGTGGAGGCTGTGCAGAAGGAGGCCCCTGGCCAAATAAGTTGGGTTAAGAAAAATTAGAAAGCTTAGGAGTCCACAGGACACATCAGAGCCTCATCTCCAAGACAGGGAAGGGAGGAGGCCACATGGGGATCCCGTCTTTTCCCAGAGACCCTGGGGAAGGGGCGGGGTGGGTGGTCTTGTGGCTTGAGGTCATACAGAGAGAGGGAGGAGAAAGTTAGCATTCAGAATGCAGATGGGGACCCTTGCAATCCTAGAAGTTGTATCCAGGGCCTTTGCCCTGAGCTGCATCCCCAGCTTTCTATTTTTGATTTTGAGACACAGCCTTGCTAAATCACCAAGTTGTCCAAACTGAGCTATGTTTCCACCATTAAAAAATGAAAAAAGATGCAAAACAGAATTTTTAAAATCAGAGTGCTGTGTTTAAAACGAAAATGAACACGGGCTGTAGGTGGGGACTGGGGAGACCTCCAGGACATGTGCCTAAGTAACAGAAGCCAGCTGTTGAGGAAGACCGTGCAGGAGGATCCTGTCCATGGGAGAAAATGGCTCAGTGCAGAGCTCACGGGGCCACTTTGCCTGAGTGGAGTGGATTGCAGGGTACAGGCTTGGAGGAGACGCTCACTGAACCTTTCGGAGAAGATCTCAGGACAAGTCTGAGAGGCTGTGCTGCTCCCTTCTCCCCAAGTTGGCCCAAGTCCCCTCTCCTATCCTCTCCTTATAACTCTTGGCCTTTCCTGGCATGCATAAAATGCAATCCTTTCTTGGGGACATTTTCAGCCTCCCTGTTCTCTCTTCCCTCTTAGTATTACTTGACCGGATTACTCTGGGCTCAGCCCGGCCCTCCAAGACCCCAGCCTGGTGCCCTAAGAAGCTACGTCCCTCAGAGTCATGAGCTACCTCCACCACAGTGAAGTTCTCAGCGGGAGATTCTGCAAGGAGCCGACAGCTTGTGGAGGTGTTCATCTACCTGGGCGTCCCCAGCCAGCCCCCCAGACCTTCTGAAGGTCTAGAGTCAGAATCAGATTCTGAGTCAGAATCTCTAGGTGGCCAGGACTGAGGAGCCCTGCCGCCAACCCTCTCTAAGCAGAATCACAGCCCTCCGGACATCCCACCTAGGCCCCACATCAAGCTAACCCGTGCTTCATGTCAGCTTCCCTGGCCTCCAGGCCCATGGAGGCACTTGGAAAATATTAATGCCCCGAGTTGGAAAACTTTCGAGCCAGCCAGGGGGTCCTCTGAATCAAAGCCAGACCCCTGCTCCTTAGCAGGAATCGATAACCTGTAGCTGGAAATGATTTGGGTTTGGGCAACGAGTGTGACACCGGGTCCGAGGTGCCAATCAGCCTGTCACCAGGGCCCCTGCTGGCAGGCCTATTTGCTCAAGGTGATGGTCTGCTTATGGAGGTTATGGGTTTTTTATGTGTCAACCTGCACCTCCCTGGACTCTTTGCCAGGCCATTTAGCTGTCTAAATCAAGACATCTCGGGCCACAGCGACTGTGAGGCATTCGTGCATTGGGCTGCCATGCCTCCCCTCATAATCTAACTCTAATTTATTGGCCGGGGGACGTAGGGAGCAGCCTATACACATATCTGGTGTGCAGTGAAGGATATAGCATACAATGTTCCAGTGTAATAAGGCTCTTTATAGAAGACATTAAGTAGGGTCTGGCTTGGAACACCAGTGAGGCCCTGATTAGTTCCTGCCTGGAAAATATCTACACGGCAGATGTCTTCTGAGGCCTCCATGGGGACAGGACAGAGCCTGGTGTCTCTCATTCCTCATGCTGGTTTGCATCTGAGTGGTTGATCAGATTAAAAGCGCTTGTGCTCCCTGAGGGCAGGAGCCGGCTTTCACAGGCGCATGTGATGAAAGGTGTTCAATAAAGCCTCATCAAATTCATCAGGATGGGAGGAAAGCAGAAAGTCATTCTCTGTGTACTCGCTGTGACTTAGAGGTTCGCTTCCTCCACTGACGATCTGTGCCCACCCTCTTCAGCAGGTGTCACGTTGGCACTGCCTGCTCCTTGACTGGAAGTTTCTACTTCCGTCACGTGGGACCAGGGAAGTCTCTGGAGTAGGAGCAAAGACCGCTGAGAGGACGTTCAGGGAACATCCATCTTCCCTGCCAACACTCACCTGTGCTTGAATGACACGGGTGAGTCTGGGGCCGGGGTGTCACCTTCGGTCTTACACACACCATACCGTAAACGAGGTCCTGCCCCAAACCTCAGCTGCCGCCAGTGCCCTCAGAACTCAGCTGTGCCCGCTCGCATACGAGCATCTGTGGTTGCTTCCGCACAAGAGCAGCAGCAGAGCAATGCAGTTGGAACAAGCTGACAGCCCGCAGAGCTGGCCCTTCACAGCAGCAGGTATCTCCTAGGTCCCTGCAGTGGGAGCAGTCAGGAGGCCAGGACCAGTGCAGCGGTTGCAGCTCTGGGGGCAGGCGGGTGGGATTTGTGTCCTCCCACCTCTGACCAGCTCGTCCCCTCTGGCGATGCACTGCCCAGCCGATGGGACGCCAACGGTGCTTGGATGACGGAGGGCCCGGGAGTAACATCCTCTCTCTTTTTTATTTTTAGTTTCCACAGATGAGCGGAAACACACATGACGTCCTCTAGTTTCATCCCTTTTCCCACAAATGCTGCGTCTTCATTCTTGGTGGGTGGGTAACCCTCCATTCCGAGTACACCACATTTCCACTATCCTCTCAGCTGTTGGCAGCCACGTGGGCTGGTTCCGTATCTTGGCTGTTGAGAATGGTGTTGCAGCCATCCTGGGTACCCGGGCGTCTCTGTAGTAGGGGTCTCCAACCCCAGGCACTACCCACTGCCTGTACCCTGTTCACACGCGAGCGGGCACGGCTGAGTTCTGAGGACCCTGTAGCGGTTTCCAGGATCTGGAGTACCCAGAGGCAGCACCGAACTGGGTTGGCAGATAAACTAGGAAGGGCTTCCTAGAGAGGTCAGGTCGGTACTCATATCTAAGAGGTTTGTAGGGAGGGACCGGGGTTTGAGTCAAAGCAGGGGCTGTGTGGCTCTGTTGATCTGGCTTTTGGACCCCTGCTCTCATACTTCCCGGCCCATATCGTTTCAACTCAGCCCCTCCACTGCTCTGCACTTCGCCTCCTTGTTTATAAAATGCAGGCAATGATATGGTAGTGACAGCTTCTACGACGACCACGAATGATAATAATAACACCAGCCTCCTAAGGGGGTTCAGCAGTGGTTACTTACCAAACAGCTATCCATCACTTTCTATTTGCCTGACCCTGGGGATGGACAGAAGCCAGAACATACCTGGTCATCGAGAAGAAAGGAAAAAACAAATAAAGAAGCAAAGAAATAACATGATCATAAAGCTAGGTGAGTGCTCAAGAGAGCAGAGGGAGTGCGGTGGTAGAGAAGTGCGGGGGTGGAGGGTGAAGACACCAAGGAAGGGGCTGGGCATCAGCTCACAGAAGGCAGTGGCCCCTGACTGCCACCCTCACTCCCCAAGCCCTTCCAGGAGAGCCAAGTCTCACTCGATGCTTCAGCTGCTGATTTCACAGCTCCCACTGACCGGAAGTTCTAAACCAGTAGCCCAAGAGTGATGTCCAGCCTGCAGACAAATTGCATTTCTCCTGACTACAAATTGTTTTCGTTTCAAAAATTTGATTCCACTGCTAAAATTTTAAGTCAAGAGATAGCTCAAAAGAACACCAATTTCCAGTTTCTGCCAAAACACATACACAGGAAAATTCAGCCCCCAAGGCCACTCTCCCTGCAGGCAGGAACAATCCAATTCTCCCTTGCCTCACGCACCTATCGGGCTCAGCCACATGTATTACCGCCCTGGCTCTGTTAGGCTCCTCAGTTTGTAGGGTTCCAATGCGGGAGACACTGGGGGAGCGGCTGCTGCTGGACACAGCCCACCAGCCCACAGACCCACGGCCACCTTCTCTGCCTTGATCTGGACCCTTATGCCCCATGGGGTCGTCCACAGGAGACACAGGGGCATTCACTCTCTGGCCTCTCTCTGGGCAGGCGGCGCAGGCTCTAGGTCCCTTCCCCAAAGGTCCAGGACCTGGAACAGCCCCCACTGTGATCCGTCCTCTGGGAAGGCCCAGCCCTGCCCCACCCCTTCCCAGTGCTGTCCAACAGCGTCCTTCCTTGGGGCCTCCAGCCCGGCCCCAGCCAGGCCAGTGTGGCCCCTCACTATTACCATTGTGTCCTCCAGGCTTCTTTGGGACACGGGTCCTGCAGCCCCTGTCCCCCACGGCCTTAGTTACTTTTTTTTTTGTTGCTGAGACAAAACACCACTGGACTCCCAAAATTAAAGGAGGGAGCCAGGTGTGGTGGTGCACGCCTGTGATCCCAGCACTCGGAGGCTGAGGCAGGAGGATCGCTGTGAGTTCCAGACCAGCCTGGGCTACGTAGTGAGTTCCAGGTCAGTCTCAACTACACAGTGAGACCCTGTCTCAAAAAAACAAAAAAAATTTTAAAAATAAAAATAAATAAATACATAATAATAAAGGAGAGAAAGGTTCATTCGGCTCTCAGTCCATAGTCAGCCAGCTCCAAGGCAGGGTGGCTGGGCAGAGGGCATCGCAGAGAAGAAATCATCCACGGCAAGCAGAGGTAGCAAAGCAAAGCAAGCAAGGGGCCTTATAGCTTTTTTCTGCCCCTTTTATATTCTATCCAGCATATTGGATAAGGGCGGTGCCAAATCAATCAGTGGACCGATTTAGTAATCACCACCCTTAATCCCAGCACTGCACCAGGAATCAGCCACAGGCTCCAGATCCAGCCACCTCTGAAAAAGCCCCACCTTGACCACCTGAGGCTTTGGGGGACACCCAGACACAGCCGTAACATCCCCTAACCAGCCCCCTCTGCCTCATCAGAATAAGCCCGGGCCCCTAGGAACGTCACCCATCCTAGGAACCGTGCCACCTTCCTTTCTCAGATTCCCCACGATGTCAAGGTGAGTCCCGTCTGTGCTCTGAGCATCAACAGGATGTGGCTTACACTGTGGTGGCGGCCCAGGGCCACCCCACTGCTGGGGCACAGGCAGTGAGTTCTGACCACCTGAGCAGTCTCTTATACCTCTGGGAACAGGAGCAGAGAAAAGAGTGTTCCCACCCACAGCCTCTGGGTCACCCAGAGAGGGCCTCGTCCCCAAGCCAGCTCTGCGAGTCCCCTGGGAACCCAAGCCACCTCCCACCAAAGCACAGGGCTGGCAAATCTTGTTTGTGTGTGGGCATCGTGCCATCCCATTCTACAGGACACCCTGAGGCTGAGATTACAGGGCCCTGTCCCAGGACTGCAGAGCTAGCGGAGGGACAGGAAGCTAAGATGCTCCAGCAATGGCAACCAGCACTGGCCATAATAAGCCAGGTCCCTGAGGCACCGGCCCGGGCCTCCCTGAGTCCCCTGCCTGTCTGTTGAGGCTGATTGAGACCTTGAGCTCAGCGCATGGCCACAGGTCCCGCGAGCACCTGCGGGGATCCACGTCCACCCGCCTCTGCGGACAGCCTTGAGGATTGATGGCGGTGGAGGCGGGGCCAGCCCTGTGAGGAGAAGACTGAAGCGACCTTAAAGGGCCTGAGGGGAGCAGCTGCTCCAATTCGGGAGGGGCAGGATGAGAAACGAAGCACGCGCTCAGAGCACAGCTCCTCTGCGGTGTCAGAAAGCACGGCCAGCACGCAGGGCCCGGGAGGCCAGCACTGCACACGTACTGAGCGCTCACCAAGTGCCACCCGTGCTGGGTGCGGGGTGCTGGGTGTCAAGGCTACAGAGCAGTCAGCTGCAGAGAGAGGATACACCACGCAGACCGAGGTGGTCTGTCTGTGTGCAAATCAACTTGGTAATTCCAGATGCTGCTGGCCCAGACTCCCTAGGGAGGAGACTCACACAAGGCTGCGTGTCCTAAACAGCCAAACCCATTAGAGAAACACAAAAAGAATCCCACCCTGTAACTTGCACCTTGAGGTAAAACAGTACTAACCAGGTGTAGTGCCACATCCGGCTGCACAGTAGGCTGAGGCTGAGCTCAGCTGGCCCTGAGTCCGGCCCATAGGACTTGACCACACCCATTTTCCAGGTCCAGCCCTGGTGCGCAACTGTTGCCCTGGTGTCAATTTTGGTAGCTGCCCTACTCCTCCTCACACCTGTTCCATTGACAGTAAGTTATGTCTCTCTCTTCAACTCCATAGTGAGGCCCACTGCCCCCAAAAGCCACTCTACATGAGTCCCCCGATGATCTTATCTTTCAAGACAGGTCACTTCCAAGGTCCCCCATGGGGCTTCTTGCTTTGCACGAGCTGTTTGCTTGGAGGCAGAGGATCTGCTTTGTTTCCCATCTGCACTAAGACCTACGTGGTCCTGGGATATGACAAGCACTAAACACATACATCACAGGTGGGTGGAGGGGCAGAAGGATGGAGGAAGGGTATGATGATGGATGGATGGATGGATGGATGGATGGATGGATGGAGAAATGGAAGGAGGGATAGATGAATGGATGGATTTTAGGGAAACTAGTTAGGAAATTGTAAGAGAAGGTGGTAAAATGGATTTGAAATGGCAATGAGTGAATCGTTTTGTGAGCTACTTTGGAGATAGAATCAGATGCGGATATGCTTTGTGGAAAAATGATGTCCTGCATCCTGTTCGGGTGCCTTGCCTGAGTCTTCACTCCCCACGCACCTCACCTGAGAAGCAAAATCCTGTCTCTTGCCTTAGCAACCTGTTGTCCAGAAAGCAAGTGCAGAACAGAACTAGGAGGGCGAGTCCCAGACATAGCACCTGTGGGCTGGAAGAGGCCATGCCTTGGGGGTGCCTCAAAATCATGCCTTCCTGAAGGTGTCAGCCCCCTAGATGGCTCTGAGGACTGTCAGGGGTCCTTAAAACCCCCCAACAGTGCCAAATTAGGCTCATGACACATCATAAAAAGTTGGGACATCTGGGCAGACCAAATGAAGCCGATGTCTATCAGCAGGGAGCTCTACATTTCTCGTGCTCCCCATTCAGTGTGTGTTGGGGCTGCTCTGAGCCTCACTTTCCTTATGTGTAACCCAGAGAGCCTATGGTAGCAATAACTGCTTCCCAGGCTGGTTTGGAAGATCACATGAGTGAACTCTCATACAGAGCTGTTGGTAACCCCTCTACATATAGAAAGTAATCCCTGGGCTGAGTGAGATTAGTAATTAAACACATCATTTTGTATCATGTCATACCAGCCTTGATTGGGCTCTCTCTAGTTTTCTAAGAGGGAACTTGAACTTGGTGGACGTCTTGCTGGTCTGGGCAGCCAGTGGAAGTGGGGGTGGAGGGTCCCACGCAGACAGATGGGTCACCCTGTCTTGCCCCAATACAACCTGATACATTTTGCCTTCCGAGTTGATCCAGGACACAGGTGCTCCCCAACTGATGAGGGGGGTATGCCAGGAAGAATCCACTGTAAAAATGAAGACTGTCCTAAGTAAAAAAAAAAAAAAAAAAATGCACTTAGTACACTAAAAGCCGGAGACACAGGTGGGTATTTTGTACCCATGATGGAATGGAAGAATTCAAAATACAATACAGAAAACTCCCCACAATATCAAAAAATCATGACAATGCTACTTTTAGTGTTTTGTTTTGGTTCTTTTCTTGTCATCTCACAATGCTGTTGGGAGCTGCAACTCATAGCATTTCATGATTATTTGGCATTTTGTTGGGTTTTGTTGTTGTTTTTTGAGGTAGGGTCTTGCTATGTAGCCCAGGCTGGCCTCAAACTCACTGCAATCCTCCTGTCTCAGCCTCCAAAGTGCTGGGATTACAGGCATGAGCTACCACCCCCAGCTGCTACTCAGCATTTTTGAGGGGAGGTGGGTACTAGGGATCAAACTCAGGACCTTGTGCTTGGCAGGCATGTGGTGGCACCACCAAGCTAAATCCCCAGCACTCAGCAATATTAAAGAATTTTACACCACATATCTCCATCCTGGAAAATGATAAACATTTAAAATTTGACATGATTTCTATTGAATTGAAGGCATATTGTTTTCAAATCATTATAAAGTAAGAAAAGTCATAAACAAATAGTATTCCGTCAGCTGTGGTAGTTCAAAATAGTCATGGATAGGGCCAGGGATTTAGCTCAGTGGTTCTGTCACCTGCTTTGTAAGCACAAGGTCCTGAGTTCAATCCCCAGTACCTCCCCCACAAAAAGGAGCCATGAATAAAACAAATGAATACAGCTGTTACAGTAAAACTTTATTTACAAAAATAGGCACAGGCCAACCCTCACAATCATTCCATTGATAGCAAATGAAATCCCCTTAGATGCACTTTATCCTAAAGATCAGTTATCAGATTTGTCTGTGTGACAGACCTGGACATGGACAGAACAGCAGCCTATATTCCAGTGCTTTCTGTGAAAAGATGTACCGGGAATCTATCTCTCCCTGACATTTCTCTGCAGAAGGACACTGAAGTAGATTTTCTGACTGGATGTTAATCTTTCCAACTTGCTGTATCCACGGAGAGACTTTCTTCTTCCTTATGTTTTAGAAGATGTGAACCGTTCTTTTCTGTGTCAGTGAGAAGGATTAGTGGCAGTGGATTGAGGGAGACAGCTTACCTTCAAGAATGACTCATTGGCTGCCATCTTGGAACAGCATTCCTCCTGTGATTACATCTGACTGTGTGAACAATGTGATCTTCAATGGAAAGAAAGCTCAAATGTGTTCTTTAAAGGAATATGTTGCTTCTGAACACCAATACTGAGGCTTCTTAGAGATATTTTCTAAAAGGTGCGGCTGGCTGAGGAAGGTTGGTGGTAAGGGCACTCCACGACTGAATCTTAGGTCTCTGCCTCCATTCCACTGCGCTGGTGGCTTTCAAAGTCACCACATGGAAGTAACAGGAAGGAACTGGGTAGGGGAGAGGCTGTGATAATGGATTTTTTAAAAAAACTGTCAGCACATTTATAACAGAATCGTAACTGTATAATGTTATGGTATCATTTACCTGACATGTCTTCTTTGGAATGTTTATAACTACCATAAATCATGAGGCCGCCAAGCTGGAGCAACGGCCACACGTAGACATTTCAAGGAAATCGAATAAAATAAATAAGACAATCACACAGTATCAACATTCCATTCCTGGCTAGAAAATGGAAAATACAACAGTGCCTGCACAAATGCAGGCACCCAAAAAGGAGTTTGCAGGGAGTGGAGGTGGCTGGGTTCTCCTTGCTAGCGCCCAATAAAGATGTCAAGTTAAAAAAAAAAAAAAGGGTTACTAAGCCAGTAAGAGCAAAATGCCGACCTGGAAGGGCAATCTCAGCCTGATGCCTGGCTGTGCAGCCCCTAGCACAGCGCTGCTCATTCCAGCCTATGGTGGAAAGCTCATTTCCAGTCCCTGGTTTCCTGTGTTGAGGGATGGGAGAAGGATCACATCAAGATTTGTGATTCTCTTAATAATGACTTCTGCCTGATTTATCTAAAGAAAAATAAAGATTTGCCATCCCCAAAGTATAAAATTTTATAGATTTACAAATTGCTTGATTTCTGCCCTCGATAATTTTTTTCTGGGTTTAAACTACTTTTATGTCTTGACCAGTTGCTTGTAAGATGCACATCAAAATGAATGCTAGCTGCAAACATGTAGTCATTAAAATGTGGTGTGCCCTGGGCTTTGAGCCAGTGGCTATATAATTCTTAGAACACTTAGTGCTTTTCTTTAACCCTGGATGCCTAATTAAAGACTTAGAACATTAATCCTAAAACTGTTGGGGTTTTGGATTTTGTTTTGTTAAACGTTACACAACTCTTTGGGGCCATCTTGCTAGTCTTAGGGCCTCTGTGGTAGAATGCATAAGCTTGGGTAATAAAAACAATCAAAAGTTAAAAGTTAATAACCACCAGGGGGGATTAATCACAGTTTGGAGGTCTTGAGACAGTTTTTCTTCCTTGCAGGAGAGGGTCTTTGTTTTCTAACAGTGTTGGAAGAATACATCTGAGTCATTTTCCCCCAAATGTTGGAGAAGATGGTTTCAAGGCTTTTTCTAGACATTGTACTTCTGTCTTTCTTTTTGAGTTCAGTTTTCTTTGTTCATCCAATGAGGAACATGGACAGACTTTGTGTCTTACAGAGATTGGGTTTGGCCATCAAGAAGGAAGGCAGGGGATCCATTTTTTCCCCTACTTCTTCGATGGCTTGAAAAGGATTATAAAAGTTAAAATAAAAACCAACAAATACACAGAAACAAGCCACTGTGAGGAAGAAAGACAATGTGCACATCACAACCCTTTCACCGCTCAGTGAGCTGAGATTCTAGACTTTAATCCGGAAAAGAAAAATGATATACTTCAAACTCGTGGTCCAGAAATCATAGCTATAGTCCAAGATAGAAATGGAAAGGACGTATACAAACAGCTGATCCAGTCTGGCTTCTTTCTTGGGCTTTCCACGTCACACTGGTTCAGAGAATGTTGCTCCCAGGCCCCTGCTCACTTGGGTCTCTTTGGACTGTCAGTCGCTGGAGGCCTGGGGGTCCCTCCTCCAATGAGAGTGCAGCCAACGAAATGGGCAGGAACAGTCTTTCCCCTTCTCCACCCCTCCCTGAACACTCTGCTACCTGCCCAGGAATGGGAAGGAAACTGTGCCTGATGATTAGCATCCCCTTCCTAAATAAGACAGGGTGTAGACTGCGGAATTGCAGATGTTGATATTTGTGTTATTGGATCATAATCACATTTCAGAAAAATTACTGCACAAAACGACTATTTCCTGGAAGTTACATTTATCGTCCATTCTTTGTCCTTTGTCTGCCTCCTCTTGTGGCCTCGTCTCTCACTGGCCCTCACGTGATTTACTATTCCGGAGACCCTTTGGGGGACAGCACTGCTTCTCCGTAAAGGTCACACATTTAGTGAAGATTTTATCTGGGCCAGGAGTCACCCTCAGACACCGGGGGAAGCCCTTGATGGAGGCGGTCAACAACCAGCCAGAGCCGGTGGGTGGCCAGCACCATACAGGAAGAGGGGGCTTTGGCTGGGGAGTGACTCAGATGAAGAAATTCACGTTTTCATAACATTCGCAGCTCTGACCTGGCTCTCACTGCCAGGTGAAATCCTGAAAATCCATTCTCCATGGAATTATGCTCTGAAAAAAATCATTTGGTGCGGGCTTTGTTTTTCTTCCATAGGTGGAGAGACGGACTCCAAATGCAGGCGTGGCCGGGCCCTGATGAGCACGCTGAGGTCCCTAGGCAGCTCATGTTGGAGTGGGCGGCCTCTTCGTATGTCCATCGTGTGGGCACACAAGGTAAGAGGGAAAGTCCGAAAGACGAACCCCAATTCCCCGCTCCTTCCGGTAAAAAGGCAAGTGCTCTGAGACCACCCAGGGGCCTCTGAGATTTTTAGAGGGGATACTCCTGAGATTTAGCAGTCTTGAAACTCAGAGCCACACCTGCTGTGTTCAGGGGCTTTGGAGGAGGGAGTCTTAGCTGCCCAGGCCCAGGCCAAAACCCTTATCTTCACAGTTAATTCTACATGGCGCACAGCGCAGCAGAGCTTCCAGAGAGATCCTTCGTTCTGAAGTCAGGGTGTCCCCAGACCTCCCCAGCTTCCATTTTTCTTCTGTTAAAGGAACTCAACAAGGTAGGCAGAGCTGCCCACAGAAAGTCTACTTGGGATTTTATTTCTTAAGTAGGTAGAAGGGATATAAAAAAGAGATGCTTCTGAAGGTTATCCTTAATTCCATTCATAAATGTCCACAAGGCCACCTCCGTGGTAGGGCACTTGCCCTAGCACATGGGGACCCAGGCTTCCATCTTCAGCACTGCAAAATACCTACAAAAATTAAAATACTGGGCACTAAACCCAGCGCTCTGCCTCTTTTCCCGTCTAGGAAAGAGTTATGAAAGGTGAAGAGGGCCTGGAGGGTGAGAACTGAGGGTCCCTGGGGCTGCAGCCGCGAAGCCAGTCTCAGTGGTCTGGGCACGCAGGAGGACACTTTCACACGGCTCCCGGCACCACACAATGTGGGCAGAGAAACAATCTGGGATAAGGACAACTACAGTGACGGACTGTCTCCGGCTCTGCATTAACCTTTCAGAAGGGCCTCGCTTTGGAGGGAAGGTATTAGGCAGCTTCTTAAAAACATTACTCTTTCTTTACAGAATGTCAAGTGAGATTTCAAGGGGAACACTTCATAACCCAAGTATGTTTTCCTCAGGGTGATAAACCACGGCTACATCTCTTCCTGGCTCCAGCCCCCCAACTCCCAGCCAGACCTTCATCTGTCTTCCAGAGAAACAATAACAACAACCAAAACAGAGGTGTTTTCTCCAGATGTCCAGACAGCCCCTCCTGTGAGGCAGAGGAAAGGTGGCCTCTAAACTTTATACATCCAGAGGGAGAGCTGTTTTGGGCAGCAGCAGCGAGCTGAGTGGAGTTTTTCTGTCTGTGTCAATGCAAACATCA